GGCGAGTACCGCGGCCTCCGCTTGACCCCACGGGGCCCAGCACAATGCTGGGGACACAAAGCCGACCCTCCCTAGATGCCTGTTGATCCATTTGGGCATGAAAACCAAATCATAAAAAGTGTGGGCCTGGAAACCATCCAAGCACACCAGGGAGAAAGCCCCAAACCCCTCTCCCAGTCTGCCCTGCACCATCCACAGTTGGAGTTCTGGCTAGAACTGGGCTCTCTTTCAGCCCATCTGCTTAGCATCTCTTTGGTTGCTTTTTCTAAGTTTCATATTAGAAAAAAAAAAAAAAACCCTTGAAAAACACAACAGCAGAGAGGTGGGGGAGGGCGAATAAAGAACCAGTTGCAGCAGGCAATCCAGTGGGGGGCAGGGGCCTGGGTAGTCTCAGGCTACAGGCCAGCTTCTGCTCCAGCAGTCCCTTCCTGGTGGGGGAAGCAGCCGGAGGAGGGGCTCTCCCTGGGTGTGTGGGGATGGCTGAGAAGAGCATTTTGCTGAAATGGTTTGGGTCACCTAACTTTACTGACTGTGGAAGCAACACAGGTATCTTCAGTGGGACCCTGGGCGAGTCATTTCTCATCCAGTTTAGCTACAATGGAAATGGATCATCCATCCCTGACTTCGGTGACTCCCACGCTAATCAGCCAAAGGAGTATGTTTGCCACCCCTGCCCAAAGGTACCAGGTGAGACCCTCCCCCACTGCCCAGTGGCCGGGGAGAGGAGGGCTGTGGAAACCACCACCACCAGTCCGGCCCAGGCCAGAGACGCTGGAGACAGTCTAGCCTCCACCCCATGTCTCAGACCTCAGCGTGCAACAGCTCACCTGGGGAGGTCAGGGGGTGTCAACAAAGTAGAGGCCTGATTCCACCCTGGGGTCAGACATCACAGCAGGGAGCCCAGGTCCATGCAGGTGACCCCAAGATTGATGGGGAAGGAAGGGGCTTCAGTCCCCATCTTAAAGAACACATGTCTACAGGCTGAATTTAGAAGTGCATTTCCTGGCAATACAGGGTCTACTGGGATAGAAGAGTCATGCAAAGCCAAGGGAGAAGATCATGTGCAAGAGGCTCCTCTGAGCCGGATGCCTGCACAGTCAGCACACCTTGAACATCTACCGGGCACCCAGCCCAAGCCAGGACTGGGGACCCACGGAGCAGGGCAGTCACTTCCCTCAAAGAACTCAATGCAGGGAGGTATCAGACAACCAGAAACAAGACTTAACAGTCACAAGGGGACGCTCCCTCTAGGGTGAGATCGTGGTTTTAAGTCACACCTGGGTCAGTTTACTTTACTCAAAGGCAAAAAGATGTCCTAGCCACAGACAGCCTCCTAACCGTGGCCATGGGCTAAGTCTTAGGCACAGAGTAAACCCAAATGACAGCCACAAAGACATGCCTAAATCCACACACTCCTAGCCCACACATACATTGACTCCCAACATCAAACACAGAACAGTTCCAACTCTAGGCTGAACCCCTGGGGAGAGCCCTCACATCCTCCTCTGAGCTCCCCACAGAACCTCGGCCTTAGAGCTTTGGAAAGTAAAATCAAAAGACAGAGCACTGGTGGGTGGGACTGTCTTCTGACCGTGGCTGTAAGATTTCCTGCAGCAAGAGCTCTGCTCTCGGCCTGCCTGGGGCCCCACTCAGACTAGCCTTAACCCCTGACCGCCCACTAGGCCCTGTGCTGGCTGGAGCACCCAGTGGATGTTCCCCAATAACTTTATGAATGAATCGGTATGTTAACTAATGCTCCCTTATTTCTGCGCCAGATTCCTGCCCAGCCCCCCTCTCTCCCGTGTCTCTGTGTACCCTCCTGGCTTCCTCCTTTCAATATTTCCCCACAGCCCCATCTCCCATCTCCCAAGCGCTGTCTACACCTCTGACTCTCACATCAAGGCCACTCACTCCTCAACGCACCCTGTCTGCTGTCCATTCCCATCCCTCCCCAGAACTGTTCTGAGTTACAATCAGGCCACTAAACCCAGAGGCCCCCCTGTGCTCCGCATCATACGTGGTGTCTCTGCAGTAGCTGACACAACTGCCCGCCCGCCCTCTACGAGATGCCCTTTCCACATGTCACCCCAGGAAGCTCTCTTCTCACTCTACCCTCTCCCTCGCCAAGAGCTTGCGGTAAAAAAACTCCAGGTTTTTACCTCCAGTCCAGACCCTTCCTCTTAGCCTGGTACCCAAATAACCAGCTGCTCACTGACATCCCCAGCCTATCTGCTAGGAAACCCGAGCTCCGACCACTTCCAACGACCCCCAGGCCCCTCAGAGTCAGGCCACCATCCCCTCCCGGGTGGACTCCTGCAGCAGTCACCCTATTCCTCCCCCACTTTCCACCCTGCTCACAAAATTCACGAATTCACACGACAGCCATGGTGATTTTTTCAAAGTCCCGTCACTTACTACTCCTCGGACTAAAATCTACAAAGACATCAATGCCCTTAGTTGATAAAACACAAAATCTCTGACAAAACTTCTAAGGGGTCTGCCTCTCTGTCTAGCCATTCTGGTCTTCAGGTTCCTGGAGGGCAAGCTTCTCTGTCCTGCCTCGGGTGCTTCCGGAGCCCTCGGCACTGCTCCCAGAGTGGCACTCGAGTCACCTGGGAATATTGGTAAAAGGTAGATTCCGGTTCACAGTAGCCTGGAGTGTAGCCTGAGAGTCTGCATTTCTAAGGAGCTCCCAAATGGCATGGGAGCTGCTGGTCCCTTGGCCTCACTTTGAGTAGCAAGTACCTAGCACACTCTCCGCCACCCTGACTGCCCCTTAGCCCAACTAGGTCCTACTCAACTCTCCAGGTTCATTTCAAACATGATTTCCTCAAGGAAGTCCTACCTGACCCTCTCCAAGATTAGGTGAGATTCCCACACACACAGCCACCCTTATACTGTCCCTGAGCTATGTTGTGCTTCTCCTCTGGAACATTCATCACACCTAACTGTCCATGATTCATTCTAAAACCAGTTTCTCAACTTTTGTCTCCCTAACTATAGACTATAAGCTCTGTAGTGCCTTGCTCACTACGTGGTCCCCATAACTCAGCACTGGATCCAGCACAGGGTCAGCACTTGTGGTAGAAAGCCGTTTGGTCTTACCTGACCTGCAGTCATTTCCCCATCTTCTCGCAGCTGGCATCTCAGTTTCCCTTTGAGGAACCACCCCTCTCCTGCTCTCAGTTCTCATGGTTTAGATAAAGGGCATGAGACCCACGTCTGGCCAATCAGAGCCTTCATCTCTCTGGTCATGATGATTGGCTCAGAGACAGACATGTGACTTAAGCCAGGCCAATGAGCCTCCTCCCTGGGACTTTCGTTAGAACTGCTGAGGAAAAAGTAGTTTTCTTCCCACTGGAAATACTAGTGGATAGAAGCTGCTGTCACCACCCTGCCACCACGGAGACAGGGCTTGACAAAGAATGAAATCAACACAGAAGAGAGATGGAAAGAGACAGATTTCATGGATGCAGCCATGCCTGGAGTCTATACTTGCCATTACAAAGACAATAAATTCTTTTTTATGTTTCAGCCAAAATGAGTTATGTTTCTGCCACTTGCAACCAAGAGTCCTCATACAATATTCAAATAAATACTGGGTGTTGAGTGAATTCAATGAGCACATCAGTGAAGTCTGCCAAGAGCACTCCCAGGAGACTTCAGAGTTCTCTCTCAAACTCCCACCATCTAGGAACACAGAGACAAACATCTCTCATCCAACTTCACAGACCAAGAGGCCAAAACTCAGAAGGGCAACATGCTTCTCAGCATTACCCTGTGCAAAAAAGCCACCCGGAGCCTGGCTCATAGGCCAGCACTGAGACCAGGCTGAAAAAGTGGTCTGGCTTTCAATGCCCCAAGGTAACCCACAGAAGGAGAGCAGAGCTGCCCTCAGTCAGGCCTGTGCCCACCCAACTGAACTCCTAATCCAGCCAGGGCAGGCTCTGCTGCCGTTCCCACACTCTCCCACAGTGTATACCACAAAACTCCCCATGTGGAGGGCACTCAACACGGGATGATAATGGGAAGGTGGCTGTATCTATTTCCTTTGGAGGTATCATTTTGCAAAGTTCACCTCAGGGAAGGGGGGGGAGGTACAACAAAGAGCAACACAGAATTGCCTGACTATTTTCTGTGAGTCACCTCATACCAGAGCCCCAGGACAGAGATGGGGGCTTGCGGAGATGTCCCCTAAGATGACTCAGGAGGCAGGTGGCTTCTCCAGAGCTAGTCCTCACCCCACCAGGTGTGAGGGAGGGACGGAGAGGAGGTGGTGGTGCACGGCTGCCCAGGCAGGAAAGCTGGCTGAACCAAAGTCCTCCATGCAAGCCACCTCAGGCCTGTAGCCATCCTGAAGGGGGACTTGAAAGGAGAGTGGGGACGGACATGTTTGGGGGAGGGTACAGTCACCCTGGCTCCTTTCCAGGAATGAGAGGGTCTTGAGCCAAGGGGCTCCCAGGAAAGACACTTGTGAATGAAGTGCTAATGGGGAAAGAACTACTAGCCCCCAGAAGCTCCAGGACAACTCTCCCACAGGGAATGGGGAATGGAGTGGCAGGGTCAGCCCAGGAGGGCCAGGCAGTGGCAGATAGCCTGGCATGGAAGTGCCATTCAAGTCCCAGAAGGATCCCACTGAACAGGACCCCTCCTTCCTCACCTCCAGCCCCCCCAGGCAGTAGCCCCTTAAGGCACCAGCCTGCATTCTCAGTCTCCCCCCCTTACTCCTGGGCCCCTTGTTCTGGGCCCCGCAGCTCCACAAGGCTAGTCCCAACCCTGTTGAGCCTGTATCTATTTCTCACTGCCCCTGACACACTGAGTCTCAGTCACATGTTCCTCCTGCACTGATGAGCTCAAGTGGACACTGCCTCCAGAGGTGCTGGGCACTCCACGGCCCCCCGGGATGGAAGCAGCTGGGCCTAGAGCCACAGCCACGACAGCAAGGCCTTGAGACTTCCCCACCCACCCACCTCCCCGCTCTCCAAGTCTAAGCCTCTTACCTTCATGGTGGGAGGCGCCGTGAGCGGAGGGGACAGCGGCCGGTCTGGGAGGGTCACATCCGAGCTGTTGGCCAGCTCTTGCTTCCTGTGAAGAGGCCACAGGACATAGAGGTGAGTGATCGCCTGCCTGAGCCTTCCCCAGGAAACTGTGTTTTACAATCTCACACTGAAATCTGAGAACCACCAGTCTAAAGAGATACAGGACCCAGAGCATCTAAGGGTCTCTGAGGTCCTGAGCAATGTTTAAAGGCATTAACTGTCCCACCACAACAGCAAAGTCTGACACCCTTGAAATATAACACAGGCCTTGAAACTGTAGCAATTACCATATATCTTTGAGTATTTTTTCATTTGTCAAAATTACAGTGGTTCACAAAATACATCTCTGAATTAAGGACAAAAAAAACACAAAATAATGGGGTAAATCTTCATGATTTATCCTCCCTGGGTACCCTCTTTCCCTACACAGACATACACATACAC